AAGAAGGTGTTGTGCTAACATTTGAATTTCCTCCACTGCAACTATTAATTATAGAAACCTACAGTAACCACAACTTAGTTAGAAGCTGATAAATATTGACGGGATAATTAACTTAGTCCAAATACGCGGATCCAAAATTCTATAAAAAATCTTTAAAACCACATTTTCTTTATCGTTATCATGTTTGGTCTAGTAAAAATTCTCAAAAAATTTGTAAAACAATAATAAACAATGAGAGAACTCAAAATCATAATTATAAATGACGATTGTGATTAGTTTAAAAATTATTACCTCGTCACCAGAAACAATTGTGGAGAAATTGTCAACTTGTGTTAGAGTGTCCAAGGAAGTCTCTGGTTGTATAGTTAGATCATTTCCAGACCAAACATTGCCAACCTTATAGGTCTCTAAACCATAGTTCAGGTTTTCTTTCGCAACAAAGACAATAAACTGAAAAGTCTTTCCAACTAAATCCTTTATAGGCTAAGGGAAAGCTTCTGTATCGACCATCTGAAAATAAAACACGTACGGCATTAGAATCTTCTTTCTGTAAACATCGTAAACAAACTATATTAATCTAAATAATGAATTACCTCTTCAAAAGAACCACCAAGTAGATCAGTTGCTGAAACCGGCATGATGTGATTCCCAATCTTGTTAAGAAGCATCACTTTTGTTTTTGCAGTTTGATCCATAACCATAAAATGGAGCTTAAACCTGTATTTAAGAATGCTAAAAAACTTAAGAATTACATACATATATCTGAAGAGCATAATTTGTTTAACCGTGTCAATAATTGATCAAACCTTGCAGAAACTTTAGTGATGACTTCATCACAAGTTTTACACCACCAAGTTGGTGCAATTATTCGCACTGTGGTTCCTGCGTGTTTCTTAGACGTTTTTTCAACCTTTCGGTTACATTTCATACAACCAAAATAATACCAACCCCAGTCGATATCAATGGCATAGATAGTAAACACTATCTTGCATTTTTCAATCTGTAAAAAACATGAACTCTATTGTTTAAACCAAAATTTTTTAGCAAATCGTAAAATATAATTTCTAAACTTTTACCTCTACGGCAGTGAGTAGCTCCTCAATAGTTTTTTGTGGAAATTATGCCCAATATTCTTTCTTTTTAACCAATTCAGAATCTTCATCTTTAGATTCTTGAATTGTCAGAGCAAGACCATCATCTGGCAGTCTGTACAAAATGTAAAGATAAGTTTTTAATATCTAAAAAAATGTTTTAGAGATATATGTGATTTTGTTTGACATAATTCATAGTTATCACATTATTTAAGACTTACGATTTTTGAAATTCTTCTACCTCAGGAATCGCAGGATTGATGAATAATTTAGTTGTGTCAAAGGCATTTGTGATCTGAAGCTTTCCTGAGAAAAAAACAAAGTCAGCAATGGATCATGTTATCCACGGTCTAACTATATGAAGGTAATTCACGAACTCTAAACTTATACCTCTGTAGGAATTTATTTCAGCAAATCTGATTAGGCATATCACCGTTTCACCATTGGCATCTTGGCAACTGTTAAAAAGTTCATCTGCGTGTTTTTGCCACAGACAACATGGTATACACTCATCACAGCATAATTATAACAGTTAGAGATACAAATTAAATAAAAAATTATAGACATCAAAGACTTAATAATTGAAAACTAATTAAGATTTTATATTGTATCTCTGAGTTCAAACTCAATTTTTTTCCTCTCTTTTCCATTAACTTGCACACCTTGGAGATCTTTGACGTCAACAACCTGACCAATAACATCTGAAATAGTAAAACAAATTATAATTAGGAAACCATACATAAACGTAAAAAAATACAATATGTTATACTTTAGCATACTCACCAACCAAGAAACTGTGATTAAGTGAGCCGCTTAAAATGGTATCAAAATCCACGATATGTTATACTTTAGAATACTCACCAACCAATTTTTTTCCTCTCTTATCCATTAACTTGCACACCTTGGAGATCTTTGACGTCAACAACCTGACCAATAACATCTGAAATAGTAAAACAAATTATAATTAGGAAACCATACAGAAACGTAAAAAAATACAATATGTTATAATTTAGAATACTCACCAACCAATTTTTTCCCTCTCTTTTCCATTAACTTGCACACCTTGGAGATCTTTGACGTCAACAACCTGACCAATAACATCTGAAATAGTAAAACAAATTATAATTAGGAAACCATACAGAAACGTAAAAAAATACAATATGTTATACTTTAGAATACTCACCAACCAAGAAACTGTGATTAAGTGAGCCGCTTAAAATGGTATCAAAATCCACGATATTGATGAAATCTCCTGGTTTATTCACATTACACTTACTGATAGATGTGTTCTCTGTAAAAGACATCTTGTAAGTGTGTTTTGTTGGTCTGTACTGGCCAGATGCGGATGTTAATGAAAAGTTTTCAATCAATTTCCATTCTCCAACAAGAACCAAACGCTCAACACGCTGCATATAGTTCTTTTTAACAGATGCATGTATCATAGTACCCTGAAATAGTCCTGGGCATTCGGGTCTTCGGGTCGGGTCGGGTCGGGTAGTTCGGGTTTTGGGTAATTTGGATCGAGGGATAGAGGACCCATTTTGGACCCGAGTAGATTTCGGTTCGGATCGGTTCGGGTAGTATTCGGATCGGGTCGGGTCTTAGATATTAAGAGAAACCCGGAATAGACTCGAAAAAACCGTTTAGACCCGATTTACCCGATTGACCCGGAAAAAAGGAAAAATAATTCTGATCATGGTCTTAAGAAAAACCCAATATATTTTGAAATCAAAGCCAAATAGAAAGACAAGCCGATTAAACTACTAATCAATTAAACTACCTAATTTTTTTCCTATGGCTGCTTCTCTCCATCGTCTCCATAATCTCCACCTCCAAAAAACCTAATTTGTTTTTTTTTACGGTGCCTCCTTCTTTCTCCATCTTCTCCACCTCCGTCTTCTCAAAAGAGAGATTTTCTGATTCTACTCCTCCTTATCTTACTCAACTCTCGATTTCCCACTCCCTTCTTTTCCTCCGCCAAAACCAACGCCGTTAGTCATCATCACAAACCCCATGGCTTACTCATAAACTGCCACAAGAAAAGAAACAAGGGAAGTAGAGAAAAATTGCTCAAACAATGAAGAATGATAACGGAATCCACTAGTTTTAGATCTAAATTTTGAGTTCAAAGTAAAAAAAAGAAAAAAAACACTTTGTGGTTTGGTTCGGGTTGTTCGGGTAACCGATCGGTTCTCAGGTTTTACCCGAACCGAACCGAAACCCGAACTGAAATTGAACAAGAACCAATCGGTTATTTAACAAGAACTAAAACCGAACCGAACCGCTTTTTTCAGGTCGGGTCGGTTTGGGTCCAACGGGTTCGGGTCGGATGCCCAGGACTACCCTAAAATATAGATAATAATGTTGTTAGTGAAAGTGTATTAGTTTATACATTCCTAGAATTAATAATTCGTGTTTCATTCTTAAATATAAACAGCTTACAGATTCATCAGCGAGAATGAGCTCCAATGATCCACCGGATTATGCAGTGTATTGCTTCCAGGAATGTACGATTTTGACTCGAATTCTCCATCCTGTTTTGAAAGGCTTGACGTCGGACAGGTTACTAAAATAAATGAGAGAACTCATATTTTTTTGCTAAGAGAGATGTTCGATTAAGTAATGTGGCTTTGTGTTTTGAGAATGAGTTATATAGCTAAGTCAAAGTTTGTATTTATAGGGGAAATGATTAGTTAGATTTGTTACAATTTTAGGTGTGGAAAATATATGGAAGATCTTAGATATTGTTAGATATTGGCATAATAATTTGTGTAAAAAATAGATTTAGTTAAGAATATAGAATATTGATGGTAGATTTTATGGAATATTAGGATCAACAAAATATATTTATGGAATGATGGAATATACCGAATGGCAAAGATTTTTAAATTTTTTTGCTAAAAGATATAGTTTGAAAGAAAATCTTGTTAAATGAAAACAGTATTCTTTTAGTTACGTAAAGAAGGTTTTTTGTTTAGATTTGAAGTATCAAATATAAACAGATTTGGATTTTGATTGTATTTATCTTAGGAATAAGTCTTTGATTAAAAGAGTTCATATTATAATCACATTTATAACATATGGTTTGACATTCTTCATAATAAGTCATAAATTACAATTGATTAGAACCATGTAATGTATGTTTTTGGTTATAAGACTTTCCAAAACGATTCAAAAATAATATATTAGAAGAAGTAGTACTAAAGAGTGTATATCTTAAGTAACGTTTTGTTTGTTATTTGTTGATGGATGCAGGTACAAAATGTTTCAACTTGGATAGAAAGAAAAATGTAATATTTGCATCACCAAAGTTGAACTATTCAGCAAGTTTTTTAAAAAGATTGTAATTTGGTTGATCTGATGCGGGTGAATGAAAAAATGATTGTAATTTGGACTTAAAACAATATTTTCCATTTATATTTAAGTAGCTTCAAGTATATATATTTTGTTAGATATTGTTTGGATTAGATTGTTAGGTTCTGATAATATAGTTTATACATAAAATTTGTATTTTTTCATTAATGGCAAAACTTGTAATAAATACGTTAGAGAAAGGTTATTTTTAAAATAGGATCCTCTCTTTTAATAGTATAGATGTTATTAGTTTTTTTACTGGACAATAACACAATTGACGTTTAATATTAGACACACAAATATATTTTAAGAGAATATTCGCCTCCTAGACAAAAGATTATTCGACCAAAAATATCAATTTAACAACCAGAATAAAATCAAATCCTTTCAAGATTGTTGAGTTTGACCACAACCAACAAAGATTATAACAAACAAGCCAATCATGCACCTATTCAAATAATCTCTAACTTCCCGAAATCTAAGGAACGAGAATAGGACTTCAAACCCTAAAAAGAAAACAAACACAAATTCTTATCATTTTCCTTTTCCGAGCTTCACATCTATATATAAACCCCGTCTTCTCTTATCCCTCAAAAACTCTTAACAAAAAGAAATCAATAAACACGAAGCACTTCAAAGAAAAAATATAGCAATAATGAAGCAATCTCTTCTTCTTTCCGTTTTCGTATTATTACTATCATCATCATCACTCGTTGCACCCATCCATGCCCGCAACAAATCTCCCACGCCGGTAGCTACTCCGGCGCCAGGACCGTCAAATTCTGATTGCTCGACGGTAATATATGACATGATGGATTGTCTATCGTACCTTACCCCCGGATCAAATGATACTACGCCAACAAAAGCGTGCTGTGTCGGAATCGAATCGGTTCTAAAATATAACCCTACGTGTATTTGCGTCGGCTTAGCGAGTAGTAAAAACATGGGGATTGCATTGAATAACACTAGAGCTCTTGCCATTCCTACGACTTGCAAGATTCCTATTGCTGCTCCCCATTGCGGTAATTATTATTGTTTTTTCTTTATCTTATTTTATCTCATTACAAATGTTATTTTTTGCATAATGTTTTCAAGGTTTTGAAGTTCATTATTTATTGCAGGTATAATGAGTCCAGGCGCGTCGACACCGGATGCATCTACCCCTGGTATGTCTCCCATTATTGTTTGGGTTCGCATTACGTATTGATTGAAAGGATATTAAAAATAGTGCGGCATCTTACTTTTCATTTATTTAGTTTATAGACTAGATCATCTGGTAAACTGTAAATTTATTTCATCTTTTTATTGAAGATCACTATAATCATAATAATAAAGTACATGCAATAACTAAAAGTAAACTACACATTTCATATGTTTTATGTTTTCTTTCTTTGTCAAAGAACGCATTATACTTCTGAACGTTTTATGCTTTTCTCTTTTGATGGATTGATTGAAAAGGCAATTCACTTATTTGTGTGATACTTTATGTAAGTTTCATTTTGTTAGTTTAGTTATTAGATTTATTTTCCGCAAATCCAATCAATCAGTCCATCTTTGATGACAATTTCTATATATAGTTTTCAATGTGTTACTCTCTTTACATTTGTATGAATTAGTTTAGTCTTGCATTTATTATTACTAGATTTGATTTAACTAAAACATAAAGCCAAGTGACTTATGCTAGTATCGTCACCACTCGAGTTCAAACTGAATACTGATTTTATTATATTTTCTGTGAAAACCAGAAGGTCTCCTTTCAATATCTGTTACGTTATTTTATGTTATTGTATGTTATGAAATATAACGGACGAATGATAATATGGATGCAGTTTCTCCATCGTTTGGAACACCTATGGCTTCGCCATCTTCAGCCGAGTCACCAACATCTTCGCCATCTTTGGCTGAGTCACCGGAAATGACTGCACCGTCTCCCTCAAGTTCTGGCACCAACAACCTCTCAGTTTCAACATTGACCCTCGTTGCCGTTATAGTTTCTTCTATAACTTACGTTTCAGCTTTTTCTAATTAATTTCAACTTTTCGCTTTTTCATATATTACTTTTATGGAATTGAAGATTTTATGGTTGTGATTTGAAGAGTACCGATGCTGTTTTACTTTTATGTTTATGGTTAATCAGATAAGTTGAAACAAAAAATCATGCAAACCGTCCAATTTATTTTCTAATTGGAATCTGTTTTTTTTCCCTCTAATGTCAAATATGTGCTGGGGCTGAAAAATACCCTGCAATTTCCCTTCTTTTTAAATCCACAAAGACAATAAAAGACAAAAGGAAAAATAACATGTTTAAAATAAATGAAAAGACTATGCAATGCAGGTTTCTTAGAATAGTATTTTAATAAAAAAAATTAACAAAATAATAAAAAGTAAAAGAGAAGAAGAAGAATTAGATCTTAAATTTTTTGTTTAAGAAACTGCTCTTAAGTTTTTAGAAAACTCATTTAATATGTGGCATCTTATAATTGGTTTGAATTTTTTCATGATTTAAAAATTAATATATTTTTTTAAAATACCACATTAAGATTCATAGCATTGTAAATGCTTTAAGAACTTGGAAAAGTAAAACGTACAATATCCTCCAACAAAATCTACATTAGGAAATGATATTTCACTTTGATGTTTGACATCCACTACTGAAAACTATCGAAACTAGCAGAAATGATAGCGTTTCGGTTTGCCGTTAATTCATATAAAAAAACTATATATATATATATATTAATAAGCTTGAGAGCTTGCAATCTCAGCAAGCAAAATATCAGGAGGAGCTCAATCTCATGCCTACCTCCGAGGACGGCCAAGTTACTCCAGTGTATTGCAGACTTTTCTGCAACACTCCAATTGTCTGAACTGTGGCATGGACTACGATAGACGCCAATGCAAATAGGGCTAATGCCCCCGCCTAAGCTAACGAAGCACCAGCCACCGAGGTGGATCCCAAAGTCGCCAAACTACCTCAACGAATCGACGCAATCGGTTCACCTATGCATCATATCACCAGCTCGGCACCTGAGATAGCTAAATCTCTAGCCGCTAAGTAGAAGAGTCCCTTCTCATCTTGCATCACAAGCATTTATCTCGGAAACACCATAAAATAGAAGCTACAATACTAAACTGAAAACAAAGACCCAGGACTGTGGCTTACCGGGTTTCAGATCGCCATGTAAAAGCAGCTATTCAATTCGCCTGAAAAGCGCATAGCAAACTACTTCCAAATGTTCATTTATAACACCCGCCAAATAAGCTATCGATTCAAAATCTATTTCAAGTGTTTTGATTCGGATTTCAAAGGTTTTCAAGTAAATTTTATGTTTTATACTTTCAAATGTCATATAAGGAGTTTCAGACAAAAAAGAAAAATTTGAAGCCTTTCTGGAGCAAAACTGGATTCTGGACAATTTCTAACCGCGAGAAGTATCAGATCGTATTTTGGCCAAAAATGCTAATGTAAAATCAAACCAATGTCTTTGTTTACAATTTTAAAATGTACTTAATGTTACTTTACTCTAAGAACCTAGCCACACTCATCACAAATATGAAAATGATTCTCAAATTTCAGCCTACACAAGCAATCAAATCACTCAACTGTTTTAACAATCAAATAATATGCAACCAAGTGAATCATGCTTATGCAAATCAACTGTAAATATTTCGCTTAAGGACAAGGTTATGCGACTATAATGATCCCCATTTATATCCGAACTGGTTATGAGTGTTTATGAGTACTCTCATGAAAAGATGAATGAGTTTTGGTAAATTGCTAAGGGTAAGTAACAACTTATGCATACAAGAGAATAATAAAGGAGGAGACTTCACAGACAATGGGCATAGACTGAAGCCTTACATGGCCAGCAAAGTCATGGATGAGGGAACCACACTTCCTCTCCACGATCCTCCTTCCACCTGAGCCTCCAAGGTACCACACTTTACCATTGTACATACCATCTTATGATTTATGTCTCTGTTTTTATTTTGTTAGTTGATGGTCTCTCCTTTGCATTTTTATTATACAAGGGACTGTGTAATCTAAGTGTGGGAGAGAGTGTTTGAGGCTAACATGTTCTTTGCATATCATGCATCCTTTAGCTTATGCACTTTCATCAGAGTCATGCATCCATTGCATCTAAGGCATAGAAAATCATAAAAAAAAAATATAAATTTTCTGAAACCATATAGGATTGCATTTGCATAAATAAGACTGAGTCTATGTGCATCTCATTTAGTTTTCATACATTTGCATTGAGAGTAATGATCTTTAGCCATTGAGATGTTGAATTTCGAAATTGTGTTCACTTTCCTAGTTGCAAGTTGTTTGATGCATTTGGTCTAGTTTGAACTGAAGGTTGAACCACATTTGGGATTCTTAGCATGTCACTGTTGTCTATTCAAAGCTTGCATGATATGATCTCAATCCTTAGCCTATTTGAACATTAATCTTGTCATCTTAATTATCTTGTTATATGCATTGAAAGGTGTTTTCATGGGTACAATATACATATTTGGGCTATTCTATCCCTTTCACCACTCTTGTTAGTCCAAATAGGTTTCCTCTCCCTTAACCTAACCTTCTTTCATGCCAATGAATCATTAGTGACTGATTGTGAGGCCTTTTTCTATGGATGAGCTTAGCAAAATGTGTTGGGTTTAGAATTACAAAGGGAGTCTTCCATGTAGAACTAGCTCTTTCTCTTTGAGCTAGACTAGGATAGGATGTTTGGGGGCCAAGGGAAAATTTTCGATTTTTGGGTTTGAAAGACAAAATAAAGGTCACAAAGGAGCAAAGATGAGAAGTGCACATAAAAAAAGAGCCTTGGGAGGTTTGGCTTAAGCAGCAAAGAGAAAAAGGGTTGTAATACAAGAAAAGAAGTGTGCCAAGCAAAGTTCAAAGCATATCCAAATGGTGAAAGACACAAGGAAAAATCAAGAAGAGCCCAAGCAAATAAAAGCGCCAACTAACCAACATGAATCAATGAAGGAAAGTGCACTCTCAAAGAAGCTTCAATGGGGAAAGAAAAATGGTGAACCAAAAAGGGTAGAATAGGACTTCGATTTTGGGATAGATAGGAGTTTAGGATCATCTTTGGGTTTTGGGTAGATGGAAGTTTGCCTTTGTATGCATAAGTTGTTCATAACCTTTAGCATTTTGCCAAAACTCATCCTATTCTTGAGAGATCCTTTGCATTTACTTGAACCAGTTCAAATTTAATTGGATTATTTTAATCTCATAACCATGTCCTTAGCCAAATGAAAGCACTTTATTTGCAATATGCATGATTCGCTTAGTTATAATTAATGGAATATTAAAAGGATTGTTTGATTTGATTTCTTGTGGAGATTAAGGTTTGAGTGCTTGTTATTGCTTTTGATGAATGTGGCTAGTCTTTTACAGTAAGGCGAAATTCATGTTGCATCCTAGACTAGTAACTTGGTTATTGAACTCATTTGTTCATTTGACATCTTATGTTGTGAACTCCACTTTCAACACCTCTCTCCCTCATTTGCTTGACGACAAGCAAAAGGCAAGTGTGGGGGAGTTGATAGCTTGCATTATTACATCTCATTAGACCCTCTTTAGTATAGTTTTTATACCATTTCGTCATCTATTTTGTCCAAAGTGTCTCTCATTCATTCAAATTAGTCTTAGCTTGCATTTAAGATATGAATTGCATGTTTGGTCTTGTTTTAAGTTTATTTCAGGTGTCCACTAAGCTAAGGAGGCTTATATGAGAATGGAGGATGGTTAGACATGGAGGACTGGACTGAAAGACCAAGGAAAGCTCATTTGGAAGTTGTACCGTCGAAGTGCACCGTGGAGGAACCACTATGTCTCTCCACGGTATGAGCTGCTTCAGGACATCCCTACCAAAACCTTTCCGTACACCGAAGGCTTTCCTCGGAGGCTATTTGCACCGACGAAAGCCCTGACGTACACCAATGACCCTCCACAGTGCATTTCGTCCCGACCAAAGCTTGTTCGTACACCGGTGAGTTTGGTCGCCATGAAGAGCCACAGGATATACCGCCAAGTTGCATTGAGGAGAACCGTTCCGTGACCTGCCCGGTACATCCTGAAATGCGTCCCACCCGAAGAACTTCGCCGAGACAACACGTCCTGCAGAGCACACCAGCTCGCACCGACGAGAACCATTGTTGTTTTGCTCGGTACAAGCCAGTCCGAAATTTGACTTTGTTAATTTTCCCCTTCCCTATAAATAGATAAGCCTAAGAACATTTTAGGTTATCTTAGCATTATTCAGTTCTAAACAGAAAACTCTCTCTTTTGTAATCTTTTTTAAGAATCTTATTGATGTTGGATCATTTTAATCAAGTTTTGTGTTTGTCTTTGATTGTTTATCTTCATCTAATTATGCTTAGTCATATTCTTATGGTTCTAAGTATGGTTAGTGAGTAGTTCCATTAGATTTTAAGAAGGGGTAATTAGGGTGATTAGATGGTTGATTATTGATGTTTTGCTCTTGATTCTTCCATATCTTTGCTTAATTAATGTTCTTAATTCTTGATTGACCTTAGGAAAGGTATTCTTGATCATAGGATTTTTGTTGCATTTAAAGTGTTTGATGAAATTCCTGAATGAGTTAATTAAGTGGTTTGCATTCTTAGCCTAAAGGTTTAGTTGTCTAAGGTACTTATTATGTTTTGTAGAACTGATTCTTAATGTTTGCTAGTGATACTTCCACCATTAAAAGTGGGTTAGGATTTGTGATTAGTGAATGGATTATTGCCAAGGGATTAAATTAGTTTTAATTTGATGTTCTTTGCATAAAGATTAGCATGTTAATGTTATTTGAAGCATCATGAATCACCATTGAAGTCACCCTAGTGTTTGTCCCATCTTGAGACCAATTTTGCATATTGCTGTTTAAGTTTCTTTTTTTGCTCTGTTTTATTGCTCTGTTCTTGCATTTGTTTAGTTTAAGTGTCTTTCTTAGAACTGCTCTGTAGTTTACTTGTTTGATTTCTTGTCTGCGCTTATTTATTAGATGAGTGTAACCTTTTTTAAAAACGCCATTGTAGGCTTAGCTAAACATTCTTCTGCATTTTCTCTATACTATCCCCATAAATAATTGATAACCTCTTGTGCTGCAATGACATAATTCTAGATTTGAGAAATTGAATCACAAAACCTTAAAAAGTTTTGTATCAACGTTTTAACAACCACCAATGCTAGTGCTGGAGTAAATGATCAAACTAGGCACTCTCTGAGTAAAGTAAGACTTTGGGAAAGGTGAAGTAAAAATATGGAATAACAAATGAGGAAAAGAGAGTCGTACAGTTTCCAACGATTGAAAGGAATAGGAGAGCCACTACTAATTGAAGCTTCGCTAATCTTAAAGAAGAAGTTGGATTTCAACTAGTCGGATTCCTTTCCAGGGAGATTACTGATAATTTGCACTTGATGCTTCGTGGTGAAACTGAAAGTTCCATCCGTATCCAATTTCTTGAACAATCTGAGGCGAAGAAAATTGCTGGTGCAAAAAAGGAACTTTAGCGCTGTGGGCAAACGTAAACAAACCAAAGAGTTCGAAAAGGCAGTTCGGCGAAAACTGAGACAGCAAAGTTCGATATCACTAAAAAATTGAAACAAGGTCCTCAGAATCAAAAATCAGAGTCCACAATAGTTGAAGAAGGGCTCATAAATATTGAAATACCCAGGAGGAACATTCTCATGAGACTCCCCACCAGTCGAAGTGGCAAACTTTATAACCCTAGTGATCTCACAGGTCTACCGAAGCTCCTTCGAAGATTTATCTGAAGACATTGATTATTTTCATTCGGTCTAAGGAGCCCTGGCGGCGAAAAATTGACCTGAAGAAGAAGAAAGCAAACACTTTAAAGAGGAATGAAAAAGAATGCCAATCATTTCGCCGTGATTCTTAATTTATTGAATGATCCTGGCCCAAGAATTCCAGTCCCATTAAGCAGTTAAAACTCAGACGCACAGTGTCGAAGTCAACATTCTTATCAAAGTGGAAATGCCTAAAGCGAGATCAAACTTTAAACTTGTCAGTCTGGTACTTAGAGCGGTAAACTTGAAACACTTAACACCGACTCTGACATCAACGTTGGAAATTATTTAAACAAAGAATATTTCAAAATTTTAACTTAAAACTGCTAAACTCACATAATTAAATGCAATAATTATTGAATCAACAAGAATAAATAAAGAAAGAGAAAGATCAAAGAAAAAGTTTTTTTTCGCACACCCCACTAATTTACTATACTCGCATACTTTATACTAAAAACACACCATCTTTCTATTTTTATTCCCAATTTATCATTTTAGCTCATTTTGCTATTAATTCTCTTGTAAATGCTCGTTATAATTAATAATTGAGCAGTTTACATCTATTTTCTGGTTATTGTGCTCATAAAACTAGATTAAAACCGGGTTATCATATTTTTTGAATTCAACTTCTTAAAAAATATTCAAAATAATCGTTTATATCTTTGTTATTAAATAACGAGTTAAACCATTCAAATTATTTTTATTTAGAATTTTTGACTGCTACGATTTCTATTACAACATCCAACTTTCTACTATAATCTATAACTAATTATATTCATAATATTTACTTACTTAGTGTTTAGTCTCTCTTTGAGACATATTTTAGTAGTAATAGATCAAACTTTAAACTTGTTCAGTCTGATACTTAGAGCGGTAAACTTGAAACACTTAACACCGACTCTAACATCAACGTTGTGAATTATTTAAACAAAGAATATTTTAAAATTTTAACTTAAAACGGCTAAACTCACATAATTAAATGCAATACTTATTGAATCAACAAGAATAAATAAAGAAAGAGAAAGATTAAAGAAAAAAAAATTTCGCACACCCCACTAATTTACTCCACTCGCATATTTTATACGAAAAACACACCATCTTTCTATTTTTATTCCCAATTTATCATTTTAGCTCATTTTGCTATTAATTCTCTTTAAACGCTCGTTATCATTAATAATTGAGCAGTTTACATCTATTTTCTGATTATTGTGCTCATAAAACTAGATTAAAATCGGGTTATCATATTTTTTGAATTCAACTTCTTAAAAAATACTCAAAATAATTGTTTATATCTTTGTTATTAAATAACGAATTAAACCATTAAAATTATTTTTATTTACAATTTTTGACTGCTACAATTTCTATTACAACATCCAACCTTCCACTATAATCTATAACTAATTAAATTCATAATATTTACTTACTTAGTGTTTAGTCTCTCTTTGAGACATATTTTTATTATTGAGAATGTGTGGACCGAAAGGTTAGCCGATTAAGTAATTGTTTTCTTTTTATAAATTGAATTAAACATATCATAAAAATTTAATAAATATTTGTCAAGTATTAAAACTGTAGAAAAATGGGTTTAAGAAGACAACTGTTAACATAAGTTGGAAGTACAATTTATTCATCATCTCATATAAAAATAAAACATGAATCACAAGATAAAATAACATATAACAGATTAAAAAATAAATATAAGAAAATAAAAAGCCAAACATTCAGACCAACTTGACCCATGTCACCATTGTATGAATCAAAATCAACAACAAATATATTACATATACTTTCATATCATCTCAAAACAAAACAAAAAGCTCATAGCTCTTATAACAGTGCCCCTCATATTTATATACACATATATATCTGGATATGTGTATATGTATGAATATATATTAAGCTTGTTGCTCTGCCAATTTAGGAGAACAAACTGCCACCGCGTCGCTAACGGTAAGGAAAATATTATCATCTCCAATCTCCTCTGAGAACTTCGAAGCATGAAGCTTCTCAGTCACCACTGGTCCCGGATTTGCAAGAATCAACTATTCAAATGCAAGTGAATTAATCTATCAGATTAATCGTTGACTTTTAGTTTATCAGATTAATCATCTCAATATGATCGCATATTAAGTACTATTGCAAAGCTTTAGGATGTTATACCATTAATTTTAAGTATATCTCTTATATATTAATTGAAAAATATATTTAGAAATTAACCTAATTATTGTACGCCATTTTGCTGATGTGTCATCATCATAAAGCTTCTCAGAAAACTTTTTAAAAAGAGTTTTTATTACTAGAATAATTACATCATGTGCCACATATATTAATTATTTAGACCATAATTTATATCAGTTATATATACATAATTTAGTATTTAATGATGATAAAAATATTCTTTTTCTTTATATTGTTTAGCAAAAAATAACATCATATTATTATTTCTTTACATTATGTTTATTCTCTTGCTTTTATTTAAGTTTATTTTTGTAAAAAAAATAAATCATCACATCAGTTACATAGTAAAAAGTATATAAATTTTTTATACATATGTTATAATTTAAATTTTTAAAAATAAATATAAATTCTCAAATAATGAATAAATATATGTACGTTTTAAAAATTATATATTAGAAATGAAAAGATGTAGATGGTTCAAAAATCATTATAAAAATACATAAAAGATATAAAAAAATTAGTAAACGCACAAAACTTGATAGTCATCAATATTTATAAAATATGTTTTGCTTAGTATAATTTTTAACACAACTATATAAATTAATCAAACAATATAATTATTTAAATTTGATAAAAAGTTAGAAAAATACATTATATCAAATAGTCGCAATATTAAAAATAATTTAATGTGTTAAAAATTAAATATTATAAATAATTATATTTGATTAAAAGTTATATATTATTTATTTTAGTTTAATCAATAAAATAACTCGATGTATAAATTAAAATACTATTTCTTAAGATTATATTATAATTTAATCAATTTTATTTTATATTATAATTTTTTTTATTGGACGAATAAGTTAAGAATTATAAATATTGACTCTCTTATATATAGTTTAGATACTTGATTTAATAGTCATCAATATTTATAAATATTTTTTGCTTAATATAATTTTTAATAGAACTATATAATTGACCAAACAGTATAAATATTAAAACTTGGTAAGAAGTTAGAAAATATATTATATCAAATAGTCAAAATATTTAAAATAATTTAATGTGTTAGAAATTATAATATTATAAATAATTACGTTCGATTAAAAATTATATATTATAAATTTTTAGTCTAATTAAAAAAACTCGATGTACAAATTAAAATACTATCCTATTAAGATTATATTATAATTTGATCGATTTTCTTTTATATTATATTTTATTGGATAAATAAGTATAGAATTTTATATATTGACTCTCTTATATATAATTTAAATAATTGATCAATAGTATTAAACTTAAAATATACATCAGCTATTTTTTATATTGAATATTTTGAAGTAAAATTTATAAATATCAGCGTTTTAAAAATATTTATGTTTCTATGGCCGTAGTTTTTATGAGTTAGATTATATATGTAATTACATTCATTTAAAAGTAATAGTAAAATTAATTATAAAATTTTATAAACAGATATTATTGTTACTCAAATATATTATATGCAAAAATAATTTAAACCATTTTATTGTAAATAATTTTGAAATCATGTTTAGTAAAATTATTTATAGATTTTTTATCATACGTATGAGGCAGGTTGATACATACTATGACACTAAAAGATGATTTTTTTCACTAGTTATTGTATATTGTCAAGCCGCTGCATGCAGTATATAAAAAAACCATCTACTTTACTAAATTCTTGAGTGATATTTAGAAAATTTCTCTGTCAGAATATAATCAAAACCTGTATTACTATAGTTTTGCTTATGAACGTTCTATCTATATATGACTATAACCAATTTGAAAATAATCGCCTACATTGTGCTATTACAATAAGTTACCTGGATATGTTTCTTCTCGAGACTCTTGTGAAGTTCTTCTAGTGAATGGATACCACTGGTATCGATATCAGTAACAGCTGCTCATATATATATATATAAACATAAACATCATTAATCTTGTATACAATATAAGCTCATAAGACGTTGCAATATAATTAATTCAAAAATTGTTAAAGAAGATATTCAATGAATTCTTACGTGACATCTCAAGAATGACAAACTTAATTGGCGGCATGTCTGCTGCTTTAGCTTTTTCTTCCTCTTCTCGCAACCATCTTAATGACCTGTCACCACACAATTTTTAATTTTTCATATATTCTACATACATATTGTTTGGTTTATCAAAGTTAATTAAACTACTCAATTTCCCCTAAGATTAATTATATTATTTAATATTATATGCTAAGATATATATGTACCCTAGCTAGTAATTGGTTTTATTATGTTGAATGCATCAGCATCCGAGTTGACAAAGAAAATTATATCTTGTTTTTTTATATATTTTGTGGTTTAGAAATGAATAATAACTATTCTCATGTTCTATTTAGAAATTAAAATAAGGGTATTGTGTTTTATGTTTAATTATTTATTTAGAAGATCATTGAAGTCTACTTTTAATTTGATTTTTTTTTTTGTACTTTTTCGTTCACTAATCGGATTTTGGTTGGAAATTAAAAGCCAAATAAGAAATGTGTGTAAGTGAAGGATGTGTAGTTATTTACCTTTCTCGGACGTAGTTGGAGTTAGAAAAGTATATGGCGGAATCAACACGGATGATCATAATTCCAGCAATCTTGGTAGCCGCTGGATACTGCAGAGTGTTCCGATACACATTCGTATTTGGAAGCTTTCCTAGAATAGCCGTTCTTGGTCTCGTCACTTGCAACAATATTTTCGCAAATGATATCACCACCTATATAAAAACAACCAAAAATAAGTAAACATTTATTTAAACCGAAAAAAAAATAAGTAAACATTTATATGCATACGTAACAATCTATAATATATTTATATAAGCTATCTTACGGCGATCAAGAGACCGATCTCGACAGAGACGAAAACGACTCCAAAGAAAGCTCCCATGCAAGCCAAGAAGTCGAGTTTATCGATCTTCCATATGAGAATGGCTGCCTCAATGTCGATAAGACCGAGTACCGCAGATATAATGATGGCAGCGAGAATGGCGTTCGGAGTGTACTTGAAGAGTGGTGTGATGAACTCTAAGGTTAGAGCTACCACTATGGCCATCACTATGTTTGAAACTGCTGTGTGACATCCCGCCATGAAATTAACAGCAGATCGAGAAAAGGAACCTGCGGATTTTTAGATATATGTTAAGCATGATCCTTTTTTTAGAAGAAGAAAAATATTAAAATTTTACTTTATAAAGTTTGATTCCAAAATAATAATTAAAATAATCGCCATAAATGATAAGTTTAAAAATTAAAATTCAGCACATAATAATTGGAATATTAAAACAATAATTAAAAAACTAATATATATAAACTGGGATCACAAATTTTTTTTTTCAAATATACTTCTAATAAATATAAAAATATTTGTTGAAATCTTACAAATACTTTGAGGTAACCTGGTGTTATGGACCTCTTTAATTGAGTATTAAATACATTTGAAAACTTACAAACTTAGACGGTATATGATTTCATTCCAAGTTTAACCAAACTATAAAACTATGTGTTCTGTTGAGTCGTTGATATTTAATGTTTCGCAGCTTACCAGTGGCAATGTAACAGGAGGTGAGTGAACCGATTACATTCATACTACCCAGTGCAATCATCTCTTTGTTCCCATCTATTTGATAGTCCTTCATAGCCGCAAATGTTCTTCCAATTGCAACAGCCTCCTGGAAAGAAACAATTTCCGAAGTTTTTTTTATGAGCAGCATGCAATATATATATATATATATATATATATATATGCAAATTCGAGTGGTGACACAATGACGACATTAATTAGTCGTTGATATTTATCTTAATTTTTTTTTTTTTGAAAATTATATACACTTACCGTTAAGGCGACCATACCAGCAATGCCTCCAATTCGGATCCCTTCGGACAAATATTTTCCGGAGAAGTAAATCTTATTAGCAGAAATCGGATTGATTCCTTGATCTATATGCTTCACCTGCATAGTTTATATGATAGGTTTTTTTTTGTTAAACAACCCAATCTATCAAATATTATTCATCAACTTTGTTTGGTGTAAATAAATTATTCATTAAATTTTTGTGTGAGCTTACAATTTGGACTCCTTGTTTGTCAGCACGAGTTATGAAAACAAAAAAAGTGGAGACAATGACGGAAATAAGAGGAGCAATTGCCGGAACCCAAAAGAGTTTCTTGTTCTTTTTCCCCTACAATCAAATTTCATATTAGAAATGAAGATAACAAAGACGCATGATATATTTTGTCAAAAAAAAAGACCCATGGTATACATAATGAAGATAAATAGAAAAAAGTGTTACAATGAATTTAGCGACGAGAATGAAGGTCAAGAAACTTGCACCAATGAGAATAGTCTGCCAATTCCACTGAAAGAAACAAGAACAAACGAAAAAGAATGACTTATTAATTTGTTTGGTTATAAAGGTAAGTTTTGAAGAAGACGATCGATAAAAAAATATAGGTGTAAAATGTACCCCGTGACGAGCAGCCCCGAATACGGAATGCATAACGGAGACAATATCAGTTTTCTTGGTGAACTTCTTGATGCCAAGAAAGCCCTTAAGTTGTTGGAGAGCAATTGTGATAGCTGCTCCTCCCATGAACCCAACCACCGCCGCATGCGACAGAAAGTCTATCAAGAATCCTAGGCGGAGGAAACCGAGTCCAGCTTCGAAAATGCCAGCAAAGAAAGTGGCGGTGAAGGCAAGGCGGAGATATTCTGCGGGCTGCTCAATCGGGTCGATCACGGCCTGGCACAAAGTTCCAAGAAGAAGAGACACCACAGCCACTGGTCCAATCGCGATATCTCTAGAACTCCCCATTCCCGCGTACACCAGTGGTGGCACAAAGCTCGAGTCTACACAACCATGCATTCACTTTTTCAGTATACTAGAAGGTAAACATGATTTACTGTAAGTATTAGTTACTTGTTCTTATGTTAATTTTGTCCTTACACCAAAAAAAAAAAACAAAAAAATCTTAGATTATATATTTTAAGACTCACAAAGCCCGTATTTTGGATCTAAATTCGCGAGCTTTGCATATCCAATATCCTGTGTATACATGAACATAAACATGAGAAATATATATAAAAGGAATAAATGCAAAACAGTACGTGGAATTATAAAAATGGTAAAGTCTTGCTAGTGAACCTGAGGGATGCAAAGACTAGCAATGGTGAGACCAGAAATAACATCTCCTCTAAGTTTTCGAAGATTGTACTCTCTGGCCCATCCAATTATCGGGAAGACAGCTTGGATCCCGAGCAACGTCTTTTTAGATGCGGTTTGGCCCTTAAAATCCCTTAGAGGCGCATCGTGGAAGAAAGTTTCTTGAATCACCGACTTGAAGTCCTTTAGCAAACCTTCCTTCGGAGGAAGTGATACTTTGTAACGAACGGATGTATTGTCATTTGGATCGGACCCTCCACCGTCCGGCGGATTAGTCCTGGCCATATGATTCTTGAAATTTAGTTGCCTGCAAGATTTTACCAATAAACATTATTTATAAATGAAGAAATGACTCGCTCGTAATGTTTTAATAAGATTTAGTTTTAACCTTAAGAGGGAGGATATTATTTGTTTGAATGTATTGTCGATTTGCTTTAGAGATTGCAGTTTTCTGTGCTATTTATATAAGTTGTGGGATATTTGGAAGTCAACTTTCTCAAGATCACAAAGTGTATTTCATTTTTCTTGATAGAAAAAACACGTTACATTTTGATAAATTCAGAGAAAGCCAACATTTAATAATTCCTAATGAAGAATCACATATGATAATAGTAGTTAAACAGTATTTGAGGTGTTTAAATTAATATGATATTCGTTGGAATTAAAGAGCAAATGGTTGACTTTGGCAATATATGCGGTGTGAAGATAGACACGAAAATATAATTATACATTAAAACTACACATTGCTGGTTCAAAAGTATTGATTTTAAGTAAACATTTCATTCCTTTTTATAAATATACACTCTTCATATATTTTTAAAATAATGCATAAGAAACATTTGAGTTGTAAGATCAAAAAAAATAATCATCTATGTACATTAGTACACATTAATATTTATCAAATGACATAAAATTTTAAAATATTTTGGAAATTTAAAAATATTATTATATATCGAATTTAATAGTAATTAGGTATTATGTTAAATGATTAATTTAATTCGAATGCAAATGGTTAGCAAATGATATGCTGCCACGTGTTATCTAAAAAACTGATATGTATCATTTTTTTTTATTTTATTCCACTAAAGTAAATATTTTAGAAAAAAAACAGTTCTGATATGTGCCATGTGATATCTAAGAAACTGACATGTATCATTTTTTTTACTATTTCTATTAGATAATAGTCTGCACCAAATGCGGATGAAATAATTATTATTTATATAAGTTAGGATAAAGATTATATAATATAATATAATTAATCTTATATAAGTTTTTTTTTTAACAGCAAAAGAGTGATTTCATTAATCAGGTTGTTCCATTGGAGGCTAACCGGAAGGTCAAACACCGTGGAATCATAGTAGACATACATGAGAAAACAAAACATCGAAGCCGAGTGTCTTTAGCTAGAGAGACTGCCCGTACATTAAGATCACGGGAATAAAAGAAACAGAGCATTAAATAGAAGACATGGTCAGAAGTCTAAACTCTTCCAATTCCGATGTCAAGGTCGGCCATTGAGCTTTGTCTTCAATGAATTTCACCAGTTCTAGGCAATCAGATTCAAAACGCATATTCGTTATCCTCTGTTTTAGGACTTCTCGCATAGACCAGAGCAGGGTATGAAACTCCGCATGAAAAGGTGAGATGACTCGTGGGTTAGTACATACCGTATATCCTTGTTCCATCCACGAGTTCTATTATCGCTCCTCTTCCAAACATGTTATCCTCCGCGGCCCATGAGGCATCCACTTGGCAGTTCGGGAGACTTGCCAAAGTAGTTTCTAAAGGCGTTAAACCAGGTTGGGGTTGCTCTGTCTCGATGATTTTCTCTATTATCTGTGTTGACTTCTACAGGCCTGCTTCCTGTGTTGCACGTTGGATCGTGTCAATTGCGTCTACATCTTTGTCTTTAAATGATTTGTCATTGCGTGCTTTCCAAATATACCAAATAATCCAGGAAATATTTTTTACAATTGACTCTGAAACTCCATTTTCTTTTAATCGTAGGAGTAGATAATCAAAGTCCGTGTAGATCGAATCACACAGGAAGATTTCCAGAGCAGTCGGAATCCTTGATAGTGCCCACGTTTGTAGCGACGGAGGACATTCAAAGATCATATGATTTATTGTCTCCTCAGCACTAGAGCGAGCACAGTTACGATCCGTCCCACAATGTCTGTCCACAAGTTTTCTGCTAACGGCTACGTATCCTGAAATTGCCTGCAAAAAAAAGTGTTTAATCTTCTTTGGAGTAGGGAGGGACCAAATTTTGTGTTTGAGATAGTTAGTGCTTGGTTCAGTTTGTCCCCTGTTTTCGTCCTCATCCCATAGTGTAGTGGCTAGCTTGTATCCGGACTTCGTATAGCTCCAGCAGTATCCATCGGCTTTGAATCCCGACTTGGACATATGCTTAAGATGAGGGGGATATCAGCGGGATCTATGAACCTCTGTAGAATATCAAGTCTCCACTCCTTTGTATTGATATGGATAAGGTGGCTTACCACAAAGAAGGATGGTCTTGGTGTCCCGTTGTCGTTTGCTGGTCTCGCCGGTATTACCAGGATCTGGGGATCATCCCATACTCTTGTATTGAATCCTGACCCAATTGTTTTTCGAAAGTCCGCTTTAAGGAGTTCTCGGGATGCCATAATGCTTCGCCAGTCAAAAGGCGAGGAATTATATTTTGTAATCTCCAAGGGTGTAGAATACCGGTAATATCTTCCTCTCATAACCCTCATCAACTGAGATTTTGGGTGCTGATTATACACGCCATAGTTGCTTGGCTAGTAAGGCGAGATTGAAATTTTTCATATATCTAAAGCCTTACCTCCGTCATCCTGAGCAACACAGATCTTCTCCCAAGCCACCCAGTGTAACCCTTTTTTATCATGTTTTGTGCTCCACCAAAATCTAGCTATAACGCTTTTCAGTTTGTTTATTACTTCCTGGGGCAGGAGGAAGCAAGACATAACGTAGGTAGGGAGAGATTGGGCGACTGATTTAATTAAAACTTCTTCCCTCCCTCCCCCCTTTCCCCTTTGGACAAGAGCTTCAAAGACAGGCGTTGACACATGTATTTAGTCGCTCCTGTATATGTGCAAAGACTTTCATCTTTGAACCACAATTTTTTTCCGGGAGTCTCAAATACATCCCCATGCCTCCTTCAGTTGTTATTCCAAGGGTCGCTTTCAGGCCTGTTCTCCCAAAAAGATAGATAATTTTGCCGTATTTAGTCGCTGGCCCCAAGCTTGTCCATAGTTATTAATTATTCGAAACAGTTCTGCACATTGCAGGACATCGGCTTGGCAAAAGAATAGACTGTCATCTGCAAAGAAGAGATGGGAGACTGGCGGACATGATTGGACAATCTTTAGCCCCGTAATACGTCCTTCTGATTCTGCTCCTCTTATTTGCGCGATCAGGGCTTCTGTCAAGATTATAAATAAGAAGGGAGAGAGAGGATCTCCCTGTCTTAGGCCTCGAGACGACGTGATATGTCCTTTTGGTTCCCCGTTCAGGATTATTTGATAAGTCACAAAAGATATGCACCATTTTATCCATCTTCCCATTTTTCTGCAGATCCTAATTTTAGCATAGGCGCCTCCGGAAACCCCCATTCTACCCTATAGTAAGCCTTGCTCATATCCGTTTTAATTGCTACGAACTTTACTTTGCAGATAGGGTTTGTCCGGAGTGCATGGAAAATATCATGGGCTACTAGGATGTTGTCTGTGATTAATCGTCGAGCCACAAAGGCTGATTGGGTTTCCGAGATCATTTTTGGGAGGAACCTCCTAAGTCTTTTTCTCAAAATCTTAGAGATGATCTTGTAACATACATTGCAGAGGCTTATGGGCCAAAATTCAGACATTTAGGCTGGCCTTTCCGTTTTTGGGATCAGGCATATGTTCGTCATATTCAATCTTGGGTCAAAATATCCAGTAGTGAAGAAGTTCAAAACTGCTTTGATAATATCTTTACCAATTTCTGCCCAGAATCTTTGAAAGAATAGACTAGTCATACCATCTGGGCCTGGTGCCTTCCCTGGGTTTATATTGAAACAAGCTTTTTTAATTTCTTCTTCAGTCGGAATCCGAATGCGTCTCTCATTCGTTTCAGCTGAGACTTTCACGGTAATATACCGGAGTAATTCATCAAAGTCGATAGGGTTCATTGTCGTAAATATATCCTGTAAATATTCAGTAGCCAACCACTCGATACCATCTTCGTCTTCTACCCAACCACCATTTGTATCCTTAAGCTTTGTAATACGATTTCTGGCCCGTCTCTGTTTGGTGGTGGCGTGAAAGAACCTTGTGTTTCTGTCTCCTTACCGGAGCCAAGATACTCTGCTTTTTTGCTTCCAATAGAGTTCTTCTTCTCTAAAAGCAGAGCATAATTCCCATTTGAGGGTTAAGATATCATTGCTCGTTGTACTCTCATCGGAATGTGCAGCTTCCAGTTGGAGTTTAATGGCTTCTATCTTCTTGATAGAGTTTGTAGGGTTCGATTTCCGCCAAGTAGAGAGTGCTTTCCGGCAATTACCAATTTTAACAAAAATATCTCCTGATCCGGATCCCTCTGGCACTCCCCGACCTTCTATAATAGCCTCTTTTAGACCATCTTTCCCCAGCCATAGTTTGTCAAATTTAAAATTTCTTTTGGATCTATTCTCGCTAGCACAGGACGATGGTCTGAACCACATATTTTAAGATACTTCATTACCAACGGCTCTATCTAGCCTACATCTTACTTTTCTGGACGCTCAGTAACCTAACCAGGACAGGGAGTTGCCTTTGCTTGGGAATTCGATCATTCCACAATTTGCTAACAGAGTATTAAAGGGTAGAAATGATGCTTCTGTCCCCCATGTTTCTTATGGTTTCCTCTGATTTCATTGAAATCCCCTATCATAAACCACGCTCCCGACCTTGTCAAGCTGATACGTGTAACTCTCTCCTATACATTTTCTCGGCACTTAACGACCGGATCACCATACACAAAAGTCATATAGACTTTTTTGCCATCAATTTTTGCTTCAATGTCGATCAGGCGATTATTAGAAAACAGAATTGTAACTTTTAAAAAATCTAAATAAAAAAGGGCTAGTCCCCCGCTTCAACCTTCCGGTTCCACGGTGAATAGTTTATTGTAACTAAATTCAACTTAAAAGTCTTGTAAAAGAAAAAAATTATTTTTTGTTTCTGAATATCATGCACATGGCTCAAGATATAGCTAAGTAGAAATAAGAAATCACTATATAAATTTTCTATATCTTATGATTAACAACATGATTTAGTGTTTTCACCAATGTCCAAGCTTTGGATATATAATATATATTTATCAATTATCTATTTTTGATCATTGGATAATGATTAAGTAGTACTATTGGTTAAAGTAGTTGGATATATATACCGTAAAAATATT